GCAGCTGCCGCCGCCGCCACCACCACCACCGCCGCCGCCCTTTCTGGCACTGCAGACGCCACCCAGACCCAGCCAGGTGTTTCTTCTCCTTAATCCTCCCTTCTTGCTCCTGTTCAGCCTGCCAGCCGCTGGGCTCGCCCTCGTGGCGGGAGGGAGGCGGGAAGGGAACCGAGGGGCACCAGCAAAAGACTCGCTAAGCCAGGACTTGGTCACTGACGGGATGAAGATGCCAAAACTGACCCGGGGTACAGCCTCCGAGCAGGCAGGGGGAGGGACGCCGTCCAGTTTAACCCGATTTCCACCAATCACAAGCCGCCCAGCGGAGTCGGGCGCCAGGAGAGGCTGAGCTGAGTCGGCAGGAGGCGGGGATTGCGGAAAAGAAGGGCCAATGGAAGCAAAAGTTCCCCGCCCCTCCGCCTTGATGGACATCCACGTTCGGACCAATGGGGGAATTGTCGCTTCGAAGAAAGCGGGATTTATCTGCGGAGTTGGGGAGAGAGGGTGAGCGGAGGGATCGAGTCTTGGCCTCGAAGAAGAGCCTTCAAGTTGCCGAGGGACCGAGGCTGTCCTTTGACCTCCGCGCGGCGTCACGTGGACTGACGGGGGCGGGGCGAGAAAGCTAGATCAGTTCCTTCCGGGTCAGTGACAGGCGTCTTCTCCACGAGGTAGTTCGTGGCTTCTTGAATCTTCCTACTCCCAGCGTTTGGTGGTTGTGATTTCGGCGATGAGCTCCCAGAGAGGGAACGTGGCCCGTTCCAGGCCTCAGAAACATCAAAATACGTTTAGCTTCAAAAATGACAAGTTTGATAAGACTGTTCAGACCAAGGTAGGACCCTGCCTGTAGCATTTGATCTGACTCCAGGAAGGGATGGTTCAGTGGAGGGGAAAGAGGAAGTGAGAGGAGCTGGCGAGGGCGAGCGTGGACCGCAGCCCAGAGTTAGTTTTGGCTGCAGTGCAGCCCTTTCTGAAATGATGTTCCCACACCCTTTCTTTGACCTGGATGTGTTGTCTCCTCATGAATGTGTTTGGCAGTCAGCACTTCACTGATTGCACAAAGAGTGAATGGGTCCCTCATCAAACTTAAAATGCAAATGGGTAAATTGAGCTCCCATCTGGATCACATATTTACAGTAGGAAAATGAGGATTGTGGCACGAGCGTCTCCTAAAATGTTGTGCCAACTTTATGCAGCAATTGTTTGTTTTTGGAAAACCCCACGTCCGTATGTTTGTAGGGGGAATGGGAAGGAAACGTTCTCAGCCCCAGGGCTTTCACTAACATAATGGGGATACGTCTCTTGTAAAGGTAGTTTGAGGATCGAATTGAGTAATGTAAAAATGCTTGTTTTGCTTTTTATAACTAATTTACTTCTTTAGCGGGATTTCTGCAACCTGAAAGAAAATTAAGACTGTTTCCATAGCCACAGGTCTTGGGTTTTATAAAGCTCCTAATTTGCTGTAGGTGTCTCCCCCTCCAACTTCTCCATAGCTGTATGGAGAGGAGATCATTGGAGACAAGGGCATCTTGGGGGCCACCTTCACATCAGATGAACCTGATATTCACATAATCTGGAGTTCAAATTTACTAGGTGTGAAGCTTAAGTAAATTATTTTAATATTTAGTTTTTCTGAGCCTTACTTTAGTTTCAAATGAGAAACCTGGCAGGATTGTTGTGAGGCTAAATTAAATGATGTATATAAAAGGTCTAGATCATAATAAGTGTCCAACAAGTGATTAATTTCTCAACATTGAAATTAATGTTGGAAGCAAACTGATTATAGTAACTTTGGGTCCCCTTTTCCTTTTCTCTTTCTGTCTTCACTAACTACAGATATTTAATGAGTACATTCCATGTACAAGGCCCTGTGCTTCAGTGCATACAATGTTAAAAAGAGTTGATTTTGCTTATAGTTTACTGGGTCATTGGACAATAAGCAAGCACAAAGATGTATAGTTATGAATTATAATACATTCTGATGAGGGGGGAAGTCAGTTCAGTAAAGAAGAATAAAGAGGGATATTTTCAATTAGGTGCTCAAAGGACCCCTTCTTTTCCTTAGGTTCAGATTCGGGGGGGCGGGGGTGGGAAGCTGAAGCAACATTTGGGAAAATTTTCTCAAGTTTGTGTTTTAACATTAGATAAATCTAAATAAAAGGCTGTGTTATTCCTAATAAATGACTGTCTGGTCCTGTATTCTTACTGTAAGTTTTGGCACAAGCAATTCTGATTGTTTTTCATCAGATGATAAGGCAGTTTTAATAAGTATTTAGCCACTATGTACCCTACTGTGCTTCTTGTACTTATAAGTACAAGGCTTCTTGAACTTGTACTTCTTGTGCTATCAGTTCTTTGTAGACTTCTTATACTTCTCATTGTCTGTTTCTTGGTGTTATCTAACAGCTGTGGCATTATGGTCTTAAACCTTTTCATGAGTCTCAAGTTTAATCACTAAGTTTTATTTTGTTTATCACTTTTGTTATTCATTCCTTTGCTTCTTTTAAATTGTGAGAAAGTGCCCTGGCTCGTGTGGCTCAGTTTATTGGGCATCTACCTGTGCACCAAAAGGTTCCTGGTTTGATTCCTGGTTAGGGCACATGCCCAGGTTTCGGGCTCTATCCCAATAGGGGGTGTTCAGGAGGCAATCTGTCGATGTTTCTCTCCCTCTCACTCCCTCTCTAAAAATCAATGAAAATATTTATTTAAAAATATTTTTTAAAAATTGTGAGAAAGCCTCATTTGTCCATCATTGGTAGAAACACCAGGTGTTTTGTTATTGGAGATACTGGCAAAAACAGCAAGAAATATTTTACTGAGGCAAGATCATTAGGTTGATTGTTCATCTGTCTAATGGAGGACTAGTAATTGGCTGCATTTATAGCAAATTCTTGAGCCAGTTAGATGCCGCTATCTAAAGCCAAAATTTTGTCGGAAGCACCTGACCCTGTCTTCATTCGTATGCTTTATTTCAGAAAGCTATTGGATTCAGTGACATCTAACAAAGAAAGAGTACTAGCTGCATGATCTTCTGTAACTCTCCTTAAAGGATTTTAGTTACAATTGATTACTTGTACCTCATTATTTTGTAGGAGATCTGCATTAGTTCCCCTTCTCCTTCTCTGCCAAGCAGTTTGTCAGGACTTCACTGAAATTAGAAGATGGATAATGACAGATGTTTTATTGGGAAATTTATATAGGTGAAGCACCCATTCCCCAAAGGACGGACTGATAGCTGTCTTCATATACTTGAATATTTTCTAGAAGAGTAGAGAAGCTTGTTCTGTGGCATTCTTTGTAACCAAACTTAGACCAACGGGTCAAACTAGCAGAGGTAGGTTTTAGCTTAATATAAGGGAGATGTCTAATAGTGAGGAGCATGCATAGGATTTTTAAATTTCCCCTTGACTGGGATTATTTAAAAGAAGTCTCTATCGCCATTGGCCAGTAGTGCTGTCTTGGGACTTGAAGAGGTGGGGTGGAGGTGGAAATAGGATTAAATCTCTTCTAGTCATTTGGTACTGAAACATATATATATCATCAAGACAGCCTTGTGAGCCCTAGTTGGTTTGGCTCAATGGATAGAGTGTCGGTCTGTGGACTGAAGGGTCCTGGGTTCGATTCTGGTCAAGGGCACATGCCCAGGTTGCCGGCTTGATCCCAGTAGGGGGCATGCAGGAGGCAGCCAGTCAGTGATTCTCTCTCATCATTGATGTTTCTATCTCTCTCTCCTTCTCCCTTCCTCTCTGAAATCAATAAAAATATGTAAAAAAAGAAATGCATACTTGTTGAAGATTATTTGAAATAATAGAGAAATGAATAAAGTATGAAAGTGAAAGTACCCTTTCCCAGCCCTATTCCTCTTCAGGTACACTTTTTATTTAGTTATGCAAGGCTTTCTACCTGAAGGTAATTATCATTAGAATTTCTTAGTTGCTAACTTAAGCAGAAAGGGAAATTATTGGAAAGATACTGAGCTGATCTCATGAACTTATGCAAGGTTTTTGCTTATTTGTATTCAAAATTGCCAGGTTGGCATTACTACTGGGAAATTTTATTCTCATTGGGCTTTGTGTATATCCAACTTCATGCAATCTTCCAACCTTTCAATGCCGCCTGCTCTAACCCTTCCAATTTGCCTTCTGGAGTTGATAGTTTATTAGCATCAAATAGAGCAGAGTGTTGAAAATAAAATTTCGTTCACTTTCTTTTTTTAAAAATATATTTTATTGATTTTTTTACAGAGAGGACGGGAGAGGGATAGAGAGTTAGAAACATCAATGAGAGAGAAACATCGATCAGCTGCCTCCTGCACACTCCCTACTGGGTATGTGCCCGCAACCAAGGTATATGCCCTTGACCGGAATCGAACCTGGGACCCTTGAGTCCGCAGGCCTACGCTCTATCCACTGAGCCAAACCGGTTAGGGCTCGTTCACTTTCTTGCCCTACCTGACTATTCCTTATAATCCTTCAGTAATGTTTGTTCAACCCCCCAGTTAGAACCCTTTTCTCCCATTTGCTGCTTCAGTCCATTTCTTCCTTGCTCAAAACCCCAGGTCTTCTGAAATACGTATCATCAGATTGTTATCTCCTCCCAATCTGTCCTTACCTTCTAGTTATACCTCCTCATTTGTGCCTGACTCACTGCTTCCCATAGTTCCTGTCATCATGTTTAGGATATTCGCATGGATAATACAACATTTGATCCTTCAGCTTTTAGACCCACCCTCCCCCTCAACGTTGGGAATCTCCTCCCATGGTCAAACCTTAAACTCTCTTATGCATATAACTAGAGGCCCGGTGCACAAAA